AAGAATTAAACGTCGGAAACTTACTGTTTCGAATCGAATTCGAGCACACGACTGCCGTTCGCTACGCTCGTTCACTGGTAGAAATAAAGGCGAACGACGTTCAATTAAACGATGAGCAGCGCCAATTTTTCAAGCTCGTTATGGCCCCTTCACCAATTATCCAACGTTCCTAATTTTAACCTCGGGATTAATTGATGGAAAGAAGGTGCGCCTTGTATCGAGAAGTATGGAGTCACTGACATGTTTGTTATAAAGAAAGTCGTCCACCATCGAAGATCTTAGACCAAGTGTAATTTTATTCCGTTTCGTTCTTCGAGTACTTCAAACATACGAATATTTGTCCGGTGTTTAATCTACGAGTGTATCGTGGAAAAGTTATCGTGTCTTCTATCGATGGAACATTAAATTTCGATTCATCAGAATGGAATATCTAGAATAGATACAAAATAAATAAATAAATTTGTAAAAGATAAGATATTATACATATAGACTTTTTTAATAATATTTTTCAAAATATATTAATTCACGATTAATAATAAATTTAGTTTCTTCTTTAAAGGTATATATATATTGATATAACTTTAATATTTGATGTATCTAGAATCAATATACGTAAAATCAACAAAAAATTTTTTTATGATATGTACATAGTAGATAATCAAGCTGCTACTGCATCGAGTTTCAATTTCGAATTATCAAATCCCCGACGTCGGGTTATTGGACTACATATCTCCAATACGATAGAATGCGATTATTACCTAATCGTTTTCAGTGTACATAACACTTTAGAAACAAACAGTACAGTGTTATCGAGAAAAATAATTTTAATTTGCTTTGGTATTTTCATTTCGGCGTACATGTGAGGTGTCCCGCTATTATGTATAGTTTTATAATTGTTTTATAATAAACGATTGATACTTGATAGTTGACAGTTGTGGGATCCAGTGTGGATTCGTTATCCTTTGATAACGAATGCTGATTAGTCAGCGTTGGAAAGAGTTCATCGATTAATAATGACAACACGCGATGAATCTAACTATAAATCGTATTATAAAAGTGTAAGAAAAAGAAATGAATAATAATATTGTTTTACGATAAATTTTGATTGATTAAGAGAGTGACGACCCTTCGAATAATAATAAATATCGAAAACAACTTCGATTTATTCTTTTCCTTTGCGTCTGTTAAAAAAAGAAAAGAAGTGATTTTGAACATTTCGATCGATCTGTGAAATAAATTTCCAATAATTTTAATTCTTTCAAATGAGAAAAAGTAACAAAGATCCTTCGAGTGACATTGAAAAAAGTAATTTCAATTACTCTCACTCCACACGTGCACACGTCGCACAATTTGCATTGCAAACACGTTCACTAATGAACAAAAACCGGAAAATTAGATAACCTCGTATAATCCAACATGCAGCATAAAAGGGAGGAAAGAAGGGAAGAACGGTGTAACGAGCTCGAGCTACATTACCGCGCGGATACAATTGTATTTCCTTCTCATCGAGAACGAAAAAAAAAAAAAAAAGAAAA